TTCATTACGTGTTTTAAATGTTTCCTCTCAATTGTTCTTTAAAACTGTTAACTTTTTGTTCTTTTGTATATGCTGTTTTGTTGTCGTGATTTAAGGTCGGATATGATTCAGCGGTGTTTTGGCTGTTTATAAATCGTTTTAGGTGTTACCCAAACTTATTCGGTTCTGTGTGATCATCTAGTTTTGAGAAGAAATTGTCCTATAAATTTTGTTTTAATTGTTGTATTTCATTTCTTATATTGTTTCTTAGAACTTTAATTTCAGTTTGATGTGCGGGTCTCTTGTATTCACAAGCTGTCTTCTCTGTTGGCGGCGTTTTTTTATCGTGTTTGTAATTGGTGTATCAGGTTGCCATCTGTTTTGAACTCTATATTGTTTTGGTATTGTCTGTTCAGCAGCTGTGGTACGACATTCAGTAACTATTTGACAGTAATAATCAATATCAGATGAATTTTCTGCTATTGTTGATTCTGGTAATAATTGATCTAGAAAGTTTTCATATTATACCCAGTTTACTTTACTATAACTAAAATTTTGTTTTCTTATTGGCTTAATATGATGGGATTCGAAATCGAAGAAGCATGTCAGTGGTAAAATATCACTATCTAAATCAAAAGCAACGTTAGGACGTAACCGCTTATTTACTGACATTTGATGATGTAATTCAAAAGTCCAATATGTCGCTTGTATTATAGGAAAATCGTGTGTGTGTTGGGGTGAGATCGTTTAACAAAACACAGTCATTATTATCCTAAAATTCTACCAGTCTCCTTCCATTTTTTTGTAAATTATATGACAATGAAAATTTTGATGTTTACTATTTAGATAATTAAATTTGTATTATACTGATTAAGTTTATTTAATACACTAATATCTATTCTCCTTGATGGAGAACAATACATTCCAACTACTATTATACTATCGTTATTTGAGATATGAATATCTATATATTCTTTAATTGTTCGTACTTCTATCTGTGTTACAGATGGGGTTGTTCTATATATCATAGTAATGCCACTGTTTCGGTTATTTCCATCTGATCTATCTTTTCTAATCGATGTATAACCAACAAATTTTAAACTGTTATGTTTGTTTGAAGAAAATAGCATATAAACTATAAGGATTTAGTGGGGAAAAAACGTTTGAAATGCATTTTTGAGGTTTTAGGGATTACACAAAGGAAATTTGAGATTTTTGAGATGACGAAAAGTATTTTTAATTTTAATATGAAAATTACTTTACACACGGATAATTCAAAACAAATAATAAATATATTCATGGACAGAACTTTATTTTATTAAAAATACTTTACTAAGAAATATGACTTTTTGTATGTGAAAGACTTGTAATATTAACTGAAGAACTGCCAAATTTCGTGAAGATATACCCAATATATTGAGAGTTATAAGTATTAAATTTAAATCAACTATAAACGAGTACAAAAGGTCACGTGACTCGGTCAAATTGACCGACCCGTGTTGGGGAGTTAACATAGTTTCTGAAATAACCAAGACATCTATCTTGTGATCACCAAAATCTAAAACACTGCGAAACAACTCACAACTTAAACACAAACTCTGCAAAGGATGAAAATAACCAAATTATGGAGGCCGTCATAAACAAACTCTGCGATTTCATAAAAAATTTCACAACTCGCAAAACAATCAAGACTGTATTACTACATTCATAACAATAGAAAAAATCACGTTAATGCTATCATACCATATATTTTACAACAATTCATGGGGTCATTTTTTACATAAACATTCATAGTTCACACATCAATATTTAAGATGGTCTTGCTTTTCAAGAGGGTGTGCTAGTTTGGTCCATGTTTTCATTTGTTTCAGTATTTTGGGTTTGTTTGCGATTTTAAATTTTGTGTCTCTTTACAATATGTTTTGTTTATAACTGCTGCTGCATAGTACGTGTGTTGAAGTCTGTTGTGTATTTGGTGTTGATAATATGGGTATATTGATTTGAGTTTGTAGTGTTTAGTTTGGTTTCTTATTCTGTGATGTTGTTATTCCATTGGTTATTGTGAAGATTTTTATTTTAATTTCCTTATATCTTAAGCATTGTTGTTGTTTATTGTTTTTGCAATTAAGCACAAAGCTACACAATGGGCTATCTGTGCTCTGCCCACCACGGGTATCGAAACCCGGTTTCTAGCGTTGTAAGTCCGCAGACATACCGCTGTGCTACTGGGGGCATATCTTAAGCAGCCTTTATAGTTAGCTGTATGTTACTATTAAAACAGTATGAGTTTTTATTTTGTCTCGGACACTAGGAGTTATGATGATCTCCACATCCGACAGATTTACAGGCGGCTGTCACGTGGTCGTAGCGTTGGCAATTAAAGAATTGTGTAACTACTACGGCCAGTGTTTTTCTTTGCTCAACCTGAAACCTTTGATACCAGAGCCTAATACTGTTAGGTATCAAGCTCTGAATATCTTGGGTGTTTTCAGTGTAAGCTTTGATAATATTTGTTGGTTTTTGTGTACGTCCTGAAACATTTTTTTTCAACTTTAGTTTGGTTTATGTTGGCTTGTATAAGTTCTTTTTTTATAAGTACATTATTGAAGTCTCTGTACCTTTTACTAAAACGCCGCCCTTAGCTAAACGTTTAATACTAGTAATACTTGTGCGTGGTTTAACAACGTTTATTTTATTAAGCTAGTTCCTTTTCTTTATGAGCCGAACACTTTCTATGATAATAGCGTTTTAGAGTGGCTCCCTGTATAGTTTAATGTTTGTTTGCTACTGTTAGTTGATAGTTTATGCTGTCTTTTAGACGAGACGAGTGTACAACTATCGTTGTCTTCGTTATCTGTTTCAGTTTGTTTTGTAATATCCAAGGTGTGAATTACATTGTTTTCATTTAATTTAACTTTTTTATTAGTGTTACTGTCACAAGATTTTTTCTCGTCGCTTTGCATTAATTCTGGAGAAATAGAACTTGGTACAATTTTTCTTTTCTTCTTTATTTTTTGGTATTTTTTTTCTTAGCCACAGAAATTAGAGAATCTAACTTAGGACTAGATTCGAGTTAAGTTTCATTACAGCTAGTTCCACCTATACTAGACTTACTGTACAGTTTCGTAGAAAAGGCACTCTTGTTTGAATTTGAAGACACGGGGACAACAGTCGTCGTCTTCAAACAACCACCGACTCTGGGTTTGTAGAGTTGTTTCCTGTTGTTGTACTTTATTGTTCACTGGAAACAAAATTTCTGTGTTGTTGTTTGTCTTTAATCCTTGTCGTAGTCTCTGCGTGTAGCTCTTCAGGCGGTTAACCTGTATGCCTAACGCTGTTTCTAGAACTGTTGAGCTCGCCAAGTATTTCTGTTTGAAACTAACGGTTTTCTAGAGGTTTTTGAGAAAGCGATCCGAGGGTACGTCCTTACTGAAAACAAAAGCGGGCTCCAATGTCACGTTAATTATCAGTTCTTGAAAGAAAAAAAACTGTGTGCCAAACTGTTGATTGGATGGCGTTTCGATCAAATGGACGATTTATTTGCCTGAGCAACTTTCAACTGTACGATACTTGTAAACTGTCATTCAAACAATGTTAGGCTTAATACAAAATATAAAACATAAATGTTACTGAGACGTGTGTTCAGAGCAGCATCAGGTTTAGTTTCGTAAAAGTCATTTTGAGATACCCATGATTACGACAAAAATTACAGAGAATATCAGATAAAAGATATGTGACATAAATGCATCCAAGATGAAAATTATTAAGACATCTGACGGAGTTTAATGACAAAACTATCATTTGTTCGATTATTGTTGGCCAACTGGAGAAATTATATTGTAATCAACCTTTCGCCTTTGTATATTAACCCTGATGAAGCCATAAAAGCGAAATGTTGTTTAAAATGAAAAAAAAAAATTGTATATATATCTGAAGTATAAAGGTCATTTTCTCTAAACTTTTTATCAAAATGTGTAAATCCCTCCAGTATGCACCACAAATTTTGACAGCAACAAAAAAAAGGATATTGTAAGTTAATAAATTTCTTTAAAAAATATTTTCAGTTACATAATAGGGTTATCGAAACATGCATGTGAGTTGTTCAGAAATAATACCGTTTCTAAATATTTCTTTTATTATATAGGCAGAAATTGGTAAATGGGAAATTATTCCTCTAAGTACATTTCTTCAAACTCAAATTATTCTGATCAGAGCTTATGTTACTACAAAGTCTGACATCTTTGCTCTTGAAGGCTGGACAATCACTTCAAAAGATGATATTCCTAGAATATCAATATTTGCGAATCTGAAAGACCGAAGTAACGTCATAACTGGACAAAAAATGAACGCTACTGTCTATTGCCCAGGAAATAAAGTGCAGTTCGTAGCATTACGAGATGATGGACTAGGTAAGTTTTATGTTAGTTGTCATATTCTTTGAAAACGTGTGATTATAGTAATGTCCTTCACCCTAATTGCTATTTATTAAAATCTATAACATTAGGAGTTTTATCAAAAGTAGGTGAAGCACAGGAAATGGCTTTGTAATGATACTAAAACACATTTTTATCTTTTTTTTTTATTTTCATACTTCCCACACTTTCACTCTATGAGGCCTAATGCTTCCTTTGATTGGACGTACCCTCGTTGTGGACTGCAAACACCTAAGTTATTTTAGTTTACTTTATTGATGATTGGAACGGACTTATAAATCCCATTAATCTATTATATTCGTTCATAAGTGGCTTGTATTATTTATTTTAGGAGTGATTCCTTAATTTTCCAATCTAAGAAGTCATCGGATCTTGTCAATATTTTAAACGTTATTGGACAATTTGTCTCTGCTATATCATGATTCAAGATAATATGGTCAGCCACTGCCATTTTTCTTCCTTTGCTTTGTTTATGTGCAGAATGTGTTCATTGCCACGTTCATGGAAGGGTCTCCCAGTTTCTCCAATGTAGAGTTCGATTTAGAAAAAATCTCAAGATCTTAACATAAGACGGTGATTATCTACAAATACAAGATGTTTCTACAAGTAATGTTGTGTACAGAGATATATTTCGTTTATAATGACTCTATGGTTTTGTACTTTACTTTAAATCTAAATACAACAACTCTATATGTTTAAAATTTTACAAGTTTCAGTTTTTACAGTAAGGAAAAATATTATTTAAACAGCTACGACATTTTGATCACTAGTGCGATCATTCTCAAGTGCACAAGATTGATCGTACCAGTGATCGAAACGTCGTACCTGTTTTTTTTTAAATATTCTTTCTTGCTGTAAAAACCTATAACTTGTAATAAAATAATACTTATAATCTGTAAGTTAAGTAAACTCAAAACGAAACTACTAACTCCGTATTCTGCTTCGTAGTTTTTCGTTTCATTCATGTCCAACTACACAGCGT